GCTTGCGCCTCGGTCTCCACGTCTCGCCGCCTCTCCGGCCGCCTATGCGGGAGTCTCGCCGAGTCTGCGCTTCCCCCGACCCCCGCCCTCCGATCCCCACAAGCCCCCAGCGTCGGAGGCTCGCCCTCCTCCCCAGCCCCAGCTGGGGTCGCGAATAGCTGCCTAGACCGGGTGAAAGACGCCCCCCGCCTCCGCCGGCGCCCGGGGCTTGGCCCGGTCATCCCCCTGGAATTGAGTCTGGGGCAGGGAGAGGCAGCCTTTCCGGGGCTCAGTTTTCGGAAGAATTCCACCCCCGCGAGGCCGTCTGGACGGCAGGCCCCTGCTGCCGGCCCCCTGCCCGGCCCGCTGCCAGGGCGGGGCGATTCTGATCTCTTACGAGCCGCGGCCTAGGGGGCAGCCGCCTGCCTCGGCGGGCCGGGGTTGGCCGGCATCTGGGGAGAAGGCCACACTTCCCGGCTTCCTGAGACCCTCGCCCAGCTCGAGGCCACCAGCCTGTAACGAGGGGCACCCCGGGAAAACAGGTCAGGACTGGAGGCCAAAGACTGGGCACTGGCGTGCAGGGCCGGCGGGGCAGGAAGCAACTGGTCAACGAGGAGCCCCTCACCCTTTGTTACTGTGGAGCGCGGCCTCCCGAGTCTCCCCCAGATGCTGGGGCTGCTTGGGTGTGGCGCACCCCGAGCTGGGGCCGAAGAAGAGGCAGGGCTGCGTGTTTCCTCCGTGACCCCCACCCCTCTCCATCCACCCTTCCTCGCAGGACCTCTCCCTCCGGGGCCTGTGTGCTGCAGAGGTGGACGGGGGAGTGGGTGTTCTGCCTCAGCCAGGGGTATGGCCTCCCGGTCTTAAAGTGGAATTTCAGAGTGGGTTTCGCTTTCCCCCGCCCCCAGCCCCCAGGGTCGGAGGCTGCCGGGCGGGCAGGGCTGTTGGTGAGGTCTGCAGGGGGACTTCTGCTGAGCAGATGTGCAGGCCGGCCCTGCAGCAGCTCATTAGCATGGGTTTGTTTTGGAGACTGGCTTGGGCCTGCGGGCAGGAGGGTCTGTGGGCAGGAGGGCCGTGGCCGGGTTGGGGGGCTGGCACAGAGGAAGCCAGGGCTGGAAGGTGGGGCTGCCTGGCAGAGGCAGGCAGGCCTGGGTGGCATGGGTTTGGCCCTGCGACTCTGCCCCCTGGACAGTTGGTTCATGCTCTGCCCAGTGGCCCAGAACCTCCCCAGGGCTGAAGGAAGGAAGGAAGCCGCCCTGCGGGGGGACTGGGGTCGTGGAGTCACAGCCGCCTTAAGCAACACGTTGGAGCCAGACTCCTCCTGAGGGCATCTGCTCAAATGGACATTCCCAGGCCCTGCTGCCTGTTTTACAGGTGGCAAACTGTGGGGCTCAGGGAGGTGAAGCAGGTGGTCCGTGGCTCGGTTTGTAACCATTAGACTTCCCTGCCTCCAGGCACACAGTGAGCTAATGGATGGGTTTTGTCCAGAATTCACACTTGGACCCCAGAGTGGGCCCAGGAGACCTTGACGGGCTGACCAGGGCCAGGGTCTGACCCAGGCGAGCAGGGAGCCCCAGGCCTGACAATGCCTTGCCCCTTCCCAGAGTGACATTTTCAGTTGCACCACTCAAGGAAGTTCCTGTACTCATTCCAAGACCCGGAGCCATCGCCCTGCCCTTGCCGATCCCCAAGCCTAGGGCTGCGGCCTTAACCGCCGCACCCTCTGTGCCCAGCAGCTGCTCAGCCTGGCAGCCGTGCAGAGCCCACTTGCTCCAAGTTGGATTCCAGAGGAGGCCGATCTTATCAGGGCACCCGGGTTGCAGTCTGAGTGGTCTGAGTGGGACCTCCTTCCCAGTTCCCGCTGTGGGGTAGCATCGCCTGACAGCTTATAAA